AAATGTATAATTGGGATCCTATAAGGTAACCCCAAAAAGGAACTATAATGGAGACTATAGGTAATCAGGGAATACCTAGGGTTCCCATAGGGTTTACGGTCACGGGGATTCTAATATCCCTCCATTGAGGAATATAGCTTAAATCATATTACGGATCCTACTATAATTTAAGGAATATTCCTTAATTAAGGGATATTGGAGCCTCTGGGTACATGGCTTATGAAAGCATCCTTGTTCGGGAGATTGGATTTAGTATGACGATGAGCAAAATTTCTGCAAACGCATAGGACCTGCATACGGGTTCCCAAAACCCTGCTTAAACCCCGGCACCCGAAACTCTAATGTTGTGGTTAAGAAATCCCGAAAAGGCCGTAACACTTGGACTTAGACTCGTGTATTCGTTACGGTCCCTTAATATAGCTATACTCTGGAATCCTCCCAAAAACATTCTGATTTCTAACTTCAGTCTATTGTCTAGAACTTCTACAGGAACACACTTACAGAAACCCTTTTCAGAACCTACTTAGCAATTAAGGCCCCTGCAGTAACCCGAAGCTGCCTCACCATCGGGCAGAAGAGGCACCCTGCTGCCACACTTGAAGTCGCCCCGGTAGCGGCGGTACCTCGCGGAAGGAACTTTGCTTGAGGGCGTTTGGGCAGGTTATGTTTCTTTTCAGAAGGAGTTTAACGGTTCAAGGTATACCTTAACCCCAAATAACCTACCGTTTTAAGGAGTTATATAAAGAAATCATACTACTGTAGGGAAGCCTAAAAAGGTAGGTCCCTTAGGGTCCAGGTAGAGTTTAAGGGGTTTAGGGTACGGGGCTTCTTCGGGGCTTGTCTTCTAGTAGCATTCTTGGAGCTTAAACATCTCTATACTTAGGATCCTATGGCCTAGGCTTTTCTCAGGGATGCCGATTTCTTTGAAACTCTTAAACATGGCCCGGAACTATGCGGACCCGGTGCACACTATGATCGTTGAACTGGGGAAACACTCTTTCTCTTGCTCGGCGACCTTGTTCAGCGCTTCCAGAAATTTCCCTGCCGTCTCGTGGCCAGCAATTCTGATGGTCGTGACACTTCCGATAGCAGTAATCGTATCCGCCTGCTTACAATCCGAATGTTTCTTGCTCACAATCTTTCTACGTAAAACCCCATACGGCAAACCTAAACCTGCCCAATGACTACCCCGAGAGCAGTACTTGCTAAACCCAAACCCTGCATCCCCCAGACAGGGCTGAGAGATTGGGGTCGCAACTGCACCGTAAGCCCACCTTTGCTAGACCCACACTCCCTTTTCTTGAAAACACCCTAAACTCCTACCATACATCCCGGGAGCTGAGTTTTCAAACGCTCAAATGCCGGCTTGCGCACTTTCCCGTTGACTCCTCGAAGAGGATCAAGCTCTTCTGCAGTTTCTCTTCGGCCTACAGGACAAGTGTGGAGTGCTATAAGGCTCCTTTGAGGGTTCTAGACGGGCTTTACTTGGGATCGAGTGCAGCAGGGCTTATCAGCAGAAAGGTAAAACCCTGGATGAGAATGTGTGTCAAACAAACATCATATATTACATCATATATTATTTACCATGTACCTATCTGCGCGTATACATTCGCCGGCGTTCCAAGGCAGGCTTATGCGTGCAGACGCTGAGCAAAAGCTCGTCGCGAATCTATGTTCGAGCTCCGAATGGGCAAACGACCATTCAAGACTTAACTATCGAAAGACGCGAAACAGCAATTCAACGGCAGACATCAGACCGGAGGAAACTTTGCAAACCCAACAATCCTACAACAACTGTCCTCACAGCTTTTTGGTGGGAACATGCCCGAGAGCCCTCCGTGGCCCTCCTTGAACTCTCGACCAAACAAAAAGCACGAAGCTGTCAATACACCTACAAAAGGGATCCTGAAATGCATCCCCCTAAGTGTGAGCTCCCGGGGTGTCGGAGCCATGACTGCAGGCCTTCAATCGAGCCGGTTCATTCCCATGAGCCCTCAAAACACTCATACCAGAAGTTGGCCAAAAGAACGCCTCCCGTTGAACACCTCATGCAACGCGGGGGCCCACATACGACTATCCTCATTTCTTTGCGACTCACTCCCAAGCTACCCACCCTACCAGTGCAAGCCGTAGAAACCCGGCAGCCCTAAACACGCATAAACTTTTAAAGAACCATACTCTAGGTCGTATTATGTTCTTATATCATACTATACTATATTATACTGTATATACAAAAGCCTGAAGGTTTTGCCGTCAGCCTCCCGTCGAGCTGCGCGCTCTTCGTCGGTCCTTGAGAGTGGGTCCACATTAAAGGATCTGGCGACTTGGAAGGTAATACAGGGGCCTTAACAATATTATTAGAATAGGGTTTTGGGGTATATTATACTATAATTACAAGAAGGACCTCTGGGGACTGGGTAGGTAATATAGGGGAATTAACAAGATTATTAGAATAGGGCTTTGGGGTATATTATACTATAATTACTTATGATAGGGAACCCCCCCAAAACAGTATTGGTAATTAACTATTTAGGCCGCTATATTAGGGTCATAATCTCTGACTTGGGTTATAACTAGGTAGAACTGCAATGACTTGCTACTCCCCCTTAATCCTGCAAGCAGGACCCATGACGAAGTAGAAGTGGGGAGTGTTGTACAACACTTCTACAGCTATGGTTAGATACGGGTTTCATAAGGCTTCCACTGGTTTCATGGGGGCCTTGATAATCAGAAGGGCGTGCCTTCACTGCGGACCCTGTTAAACCCAGATCTCTTCCCGCAGAGCTCCAAACTCCAAATGCTCTGTTGCGCAATTCACCCAAATCCTAAAGCACACTACGACCTCGGCTTTTTGTCCTGCAGGCTTGGGGAGATAGAAGGAGGGACAATCGGGAATTCGCTTTGAGGGTGGTCCTGCAGACTTTTCAAGCTTTGCGGTTGCGGAAATTAGGGGCTCAGGTTCAGCGATTCGTCTCAACGGTATACTACGCAGTTGGCATGCCGACCCTGTCCTTTCCAATCGTGTGGCCAACATTTCAGAGGTTCTAAACTGCAAAACGCATTAGGCATGCAAGGAATTCATACTGCCAGCTGCTTCAAGCTCTACATTGAGTCATGAAATCCTCAAAAATCCTGTTCAGGACCCGTAGAGGAACCTTGCCCCCTACTTTTTCTACCCATGAACCTCCAAGCAACCTTTGGAAACCCAACCCCTAACCCTAAACCCCTAAACCCTAAACCCTTAAACCCCTAAACCCGAAACCCCTAAACCCCTAAACCCCTAAGCCCTAAAACCCTAAACCCCTAACCCCTAACCCCTAAACCCCTAAGCCCCAAACCCTAAACCCCTAAACCCCTAAGCCCCTAAACCCCTAAGCCCCTAAACCCTAAACCCCTAAACCCCTAAACCCCTAAGCCCCTAAAACCCTAAACCCCAAACCCCCCAAAGGCTCCCGGCTCATCCGGATCCTCGTCGTTGGGAAACTGAAAGACCGGGTCGGGCCTGGGGTTAGGGGTCTTCAATATGGGGACCCTTTAAGGGTTCCTTTAAGGGATCTATAAGGGTTCTATGAAGGGTTTAGGGTTTAGAAATAGGGGCATTTCCGAAAATTAGGGGGACCCTAATATAGTACCCTAAATAGTAGCATCCTTATTGTAAGGACCCGGCAATACGGTAGGGGCTTAAGGCATTATGGGTTATAAGTATAGTTACCCTACTTATAACCCTACTTATAACCTCCAAGTAGGGCTCGGGCAGGCGGGCTTTGGCGAAGCTTACGAGCGCAAGCCCTGTAGCTTCAGAGTCTCTCACGAGGGTCAACCCAAGGACGTGCATCAGGGACCAAATGTGCCTAGCCATGAACGCCTTCAGAGACACTCAATGAACTGTTCATGCAACCTTAAATTGTCTATGCAAGGCCATCCAGAAAAGCAAAACCCTGTAGTTCCAACCATCAAGAACTAGATTGACCAACCCATGTGCTATAGATGTAGATAGACATATAGATATAAGCATCGATATAGATGCGACGCAGATATAAACACAGGTGCAGCGGAGAAAGATAGAGGAATGTAGAGCAATGCCGAGAAATGACTTGTTCTTGAATCCATAAACCCCTAAACCCTACATAAGTTTTCAACTCGAAATCTCCAAGCCTTAAACCTAAAAACCGCCCGAAACATCGACACCTACCATTTTCTGCAAGTTCCCGGCGCTGACTCGGCCTCCGAAGCTCCCTGGCGCACCTCCTGGGAACGAAACCCCGACACGCCCAAGCGTCCATAAGGGCTTGCCTATAGATCTTGTAAGAGTTTTAGAGAGGTTTAGGGCTCCGGGTATAGATCCTCTATGAGTTTCAGAAGGGTTTCCACCTGTTTCTACTCCAGGGCTCCGTCTGTCGGGGCTTCAACAGGGTGCCAACAAGGATTTTACAAGAGCTCTACCCAGCGACTCCAATATCCCTTAATTAAGGAATATACCTTAAACTATAGTAGGATCCCTAATATGATTTAAGGTATATTCCCTAATTAAAGGATATTGGAGTCTCTGGGTATACGGGGTCAGTTTGGGGGTTTGGTGTGGTTTGGGGCATCCGGCCAAGGCTTTTTTCAAATCTGTGTTCTAAGCTCATCCCTAAGACTGTCGTATACAGAAACATGTTTCTTTGACGCGCCTCTTTCTAGCCTTCGGGGCTTGGGAGGGGTTAGGGTTCGGGGTGTATTACATGTATATATATATATATCTATATATATATATATATAGATATATAGGGTTTGGGATCGAGCGAAGGGTAGCCCGACGCATTGCCCAGTCCCCAGTGCGAATAGCGCACGCTGCCATAGTGAAGTCTCCCGGCTGGCACCGACTTCAGAGGCGCAAGCGTTCAGCTGCCCGTGGCCGCATCAAAGCACTTCGCTGCCAAGGCCTCCAGCCCTGGAACAGAGACGTGCGACTCCTTGAGGCACACCACTCCTGTCCTACCTACCGGACTCTCAAGTCGATGGGAAAGAAGCCACAATGGGGCCAGTGGAACGAAAGCGGCAAAAGCAGACGTGGTGGCGGCTGGCAGGACTCAGCCTCGTATGGTGGCTGGGAGGACAATCACGATTGGGAGGGCTACGAGTACCCTACCTACACCAGGCCAACAGCACATCACCCGCGGCCACTTCCTGTGGAGGCTTGGTCAAGGCAGTACAGCGGCTCGTCACCGTCGCGAGGAAAGCGGAGGTACGTACTCGGAAGGCCACGGAGGACTGCGAAAGGATCGAAGCCGAGTGGGCCCAGTTCCAGGACGAGCTCAAGAAGAAGTTCATCAAGGGTCGCGAGCAGCACCGCCAGGACTCCATGAAGGCGAAGCAGACCCTCGAGGAATGTCAGGGTGCCCAGACCACTGCATTCGCGGAGCTCCAGGAGGCGATGGCCAACCCGGAGAAGATCATGGAGCCCAGGACGCAGGCCCCGCCGCCGGAGGTGGACTTGGAGTGGGATGCCTTGTTGCAAGGCACAGAGGACAGCGACGAGGAGATGACCTCGGCGGCTGTCGAGCAAGTGAGGAGCCGCCTGCGGGAGGTGGTAGCCTCGACACCGCCCAGGAGGCCGACAGTAGCACCACTCACCCCTCTGAAGACAAGCACTGCTCCACGGAAGGCTTCTACTACTCCGCTTTTGGAAGCAATGGTTGCTGGCAAGGAGGCACCTGGCTTTGGAGCAAGCCCGGCCTCGGCTGTGCTTCAGGATCCCTACCAGGTCTCGCCCTCAACGAGGACTTCGGCGCCTACCCCATCGCTGTCACCTGCGCGGAGGCGATCTCGATCTACTACCAGGCGAACCCCTGTCAAGGAGAAGGGCAGAGAGCCCAGCAGGCCTGTTGTCAGTGGATCTCTGGGCCAAAAGCTCGCAGCGGTGAGAGAGGCCCACAATGTGCAGATCGTGGAGGAAGACGACGAGGAGACGCTGGTTGCTGCTTTGGCGAAGAGTCAGGCGAGCAATGGACCACCGGAAATCTAGCCGCCCTTTTGGCGGCCGAGGCTTGTTTTGTCGGGGGCAGCCTACGGCGGGGAATGCACTATAACCCTGCTGGTATGAATGGAGAGCTTTTTCGGCCTGTCTCTCCATCTTGTGTTCCAGTACAGATCCCCGGTCATTGGGTCAATGATGACTGTGGAGAGCAACCTCTGGTTCTGAGTCCCAGCGGGTGTGGTGATTCTGCTGATCGGTTTGATCACGGAGCTGTACTACACGGCTGGAGCCCTGGACGATTTTGGGATGTATTTGATGTGCAGCAAGTGGTGCTTGCTGCTGTTGTTCCATGGCTTGGTGCTATATTGGTCGTGATAGCACCCACGGCTACCTCATTGGCCCTTTCAGTGCTCCTCGCCCTTTTGGTCGGATTACGCGCTCTGCTGCTAGCATATGGGAGGAAGCGGCACCCCTTTCATCGTGCTGGCAAGGGAACAAGCCGACTGCCTCTGTTCATCCGGCCGCTCCTGGCATTTGGCCTCTTTCGCTGTGGGGTCTCCAGTCCTATGCGAATTGGAGGCAGAGGTCGTCTTGACCCTCGTTTCCTGGCACATCAGCGGTCTGAGTTTGAGCAGCTTGTATTGGCTGAGAGCCAGATGATCTGGAGCCAGCCCCTGATGAGTGCTGGGGCACATCCTGATATGATTCACCGTCAAGGACCACCGGTTCTACCGCCGGCGGGCCCAGAGCCCCTTGATGAGGAGGAGCCTGAGGAGGAGTGGCCGCCAGATGGAAATGAGCCAATCAGGGCGAGGCATGTCTCGCTGTGGGTCCTCACACCCTTCTCGGAGCCAGAAATGATACAGATTGCTGTGCCTTTCCCCACCACGTTGGAGATTCTGCAAGATTTTGTCCGAGACGCTGGCAATGAGTCTGCCCATGTCTCCCCAGTCGTGCCGCAGATCCACGAGGACTTCGCTAGTTTCCTCTTGCTCCCGGACTGGCTCCCGCACTCAAGCTGTACTGCTGTTGCTCTAGATGCCCGTCTCGTTGGTGGAGGCATTTTCGCTCACTACCTGAATGGGCCGCTGACGCGCAGTGTGGCGTTACAAGCAGCAGGCAAGGGCTACGATGAGCCCTTCGAGGTCTTTGTGGGAGGTGACCTTGCTCCCCTGGGACCAATTGAGAGCCGACTTCCAGTTTCTGGGTCTCTTGTGAAGGTGGTGCCACGAGGCACGGTCATTGAGTGGTCAGGGGAGCTTCGCGAGCGACTCGATCGTTCAGACCTGTGGGATCCACGTACAGACCCGCCTCCCTCTTGTGGGAGAGGTTTGATTGCATTCCAGTCCCCTGAGGAGCAGTACATTCACCACGCGCGGCGAGACCGTGACAACAGCCCGCTCCAAGTTGCAGCATGGGCCTTCGGCCTAACTGAGGGCGCCTTCCGATTGAGAGCACCTACAGACCGTCCGGTCAGACTATGCTGGAAAGGTGCCAGTGTTCATTCTTTGGTCGCTGTCGTGCCTCGACACGTTGGCCCTTCTGATACTGCAAGCGTCATCTTTTTGGATCTACGTGGTGTTGGACATTGGCCCCAGTGGACAACTGTTGATGGACCCCTTTTCCACCCGGGCCGCTACGTCGAGGACTTACAGATTGAACTCGTCGAGGGCTTCTCAGTGGTGGTTCAAGGAGGTCGAATTCGTGGAGAGGATGGCTATGTTGAGGTACAAGACGGAGAGGTCCTTGAGATTGTCCTCCGCCAAACGGCGACACTCACCCCAACACAGGAGGGCAGCAGTGGGGCCTCAGATGATGAAGAAGATGATGACTGTGAGGATGGAGAGAGCAGCTCAACCTTTGATGCTCTCCCTGATTCTTCTGATTTCTCCGAGGGTGCTCCGAATGGTCCGGGCCCTTGGGGCCCCCCGCCTCCTGAACCTGTCAATGCTCCCCGACGAGGCCGAAGCCGTTCCCCCGCTCGACGAGGTGACACTACTTCTGGCCCTCCGACATCACCAGCCACGATCTCCATAGCGGCCGAGCTCCCGGTTCCCACCTATGACCTCACGATCGACACGTTAAAACTCCCGAGTGTGCCGCCAGCCTGGACAACGCATCCAAAGCCCTGGCCCCCCACATGGTTGCACTTCCATCTTGGTGGGCTGCCTCTGAAAGAGGCGACTACGAAGGCACTCGCCCAAACGGTGCCCTGGCCAGAGCTCTTGGCCCGACATAATGTGAATGACCTGCTCGAGATTGAACTTTACACGGACGGCTCCGCTAACAAAGATTCCACCAAGAGTGGCTTTGCAATCACGATTCTGCTGCGAGTTGGTCTTTGTGTCGCGGTTTTCGGTGTCATCAGCGACCAATTGCTGGGCGCGTCATCAGTTTGGCCACTGGACGCTCCCCCTGCCCTCCGAGCCGAACAGGTTGCGATCACAGTTGCGATGCTGTGGATCATGCAGTTCCGAGGCCTGATGCCAAGCCTATCATGTACGCTTTGTTTTGATTGTATGTCTGCTGGCTATGCTGCCAGTGGTCGGTGGCAAGCACCGGACCAATTCGGTGAGCAAGGCCACCTCCTTGAGCTGTTCCTTCGTGAGCAGCCCGGCCTTGACCTCCATTTCGCCCATGTACGAGCACATGAGGGCAATCCCTGGATTGAGCTCTCAGATGTCCTGGCCAAGGAGGCCTCCATCGGCAGGGCCCGGTTTGGTGTCCCCCCAGTTGAAGTTTGCCGCGAGTTTCTGACACTGGACCTCTCCTGGCTTGCTATTGAAGCTAAGGCGGCATGTTCCCAGACTTACAAAGTCCACAGAGGATGCTTGGAATGGGGAGCCTTCCGGGATGATGGATTCCGGCTTCGACCGGACCAACTAGTCCCTGTACAAGGAGGTGATCACAATTCCGGGCAACAGCCGCCTTCCTTTGAGCTCACTGCCGGGACCCTGAATGTTCAGGGCTTTGGTGGTAAGACTGCCTACCTCGAGGCCCAGCTTGACCATGAGGCCTTCAATGTGATCATGTTTCAGGAAACCAAGTCCCCGATGGGCCTGCTGCAATCCAAGCGATATCTGCGGCTTCATTCTGAATCACTGTCTAGATGGGGCACAGCCATCTGGATACATCGTCAACTGGGCCTGTTTTCCCTGGATGGGAGACCCACTAAAGTTGATGAACATGACTTGGAGGTCCAGTTTGAAGATACGCGGCTCCTGATCTTGAAGGCCAGACCCGCCCAGCTCTCCATCTACCTGATTGCTGCCCACTGCCCCCATGCTCTTAAGGGCCCGGAGAGCATGAGCTTCTTGGATGTACTCGAAACAGAGCTGTCCAAAATGCGAGGAGCGGACTTGATTATTTGTGGAATTGACCTCAATGGTCGCGTCCCGGCTCTGTTTGGTGACACCACGGGACCAGTGGAATGCGGGGAGCCGGATCTCATTGGAAAACGCTTTGTCACCTCCACGTTGGGGAAGACAACACCTTCGTGCACCCGAGTGGATCAGAACACCGAATCGATTTTATTGCCATTGGAGGCCGTTCTTCTTGCCTCCGTGCACACAGCCGGGTGCTACTTGACTTTGACACTGGAGCCCCGAGGGAGGACCACAGATTGGTTGGTTTGACCTTTTCTGGTACCTTCGAGCGTGCACCGCCAAGAGCTGCTCTGTGGCGTCCTCAATTTGATCGTGCCAAAATCGCCTCTGCTGAGGGCCGCCAGATCCTGTTGGAGGCCTGTCGCAACTTTGTGCAGCCAAAGTGGGAGGTTACGCCCGATGAGCATTGCCAAATGATTCAGGACATGCTGCTCGAGACGCTGCAAAAACATTTCCTGGTGGATAGAACTGGAGCAAAGGCAACCTACATCCCCCTGAGTGTTTGGGAACTTCGAGAGGCCAAGATGCGGTTGAAGCGGGCTACGAGAGGAAGATTGCATCTGTGGTCCGACCTAGTTTCCTGGGCCTTCCGCCAATGGCATACAGGTTGTGACGCTGGTCTTGGCCTTCTGGTCCAGAAGCAGGGGCTCTTGTGTCAGCTTACGGCGGCGGCTATCCGGTTTGCCACCGCACGTATACGCAAGGGTGTGGCCGAGGGGCGTCAGCGATTCATTGGAGAGGTCCTGGGCGAGGGCCACCACAGTGCGGCCCAGTTGTTGAGACGGGCAAAAGCGGCTGGGTTTGGTGGTGCTGCGACGCGCCAGAAACGGCGGCCACTTCCTGCCCTTCTTGACCCTGCGAGTGGACAACTTGTTGGGCATAGAGCGGGCAAAGATCAGGTCTGGTTGGAGTACTTTGGACAGCAGGAGCAAGGATGCGTTCTTGACACCACAACTCTTGTTGAACAAGCTGCTGTGCCCATGCCAACAGACGAGGTTCAGTGGACGATGGAGCTCCTGCCCACGCTTGCTGACGTTCAGCGGTTGATGAGGACCACTCCCAGGCATAAGTCAGCCGGGTTGGACCTCATACCTGGCGATGTGCTTTCTACGGCACATGAGGAACTTGCAGCTGTTCTTCATCCTCTCTTCACAAAGGCTATGCTATGGGCGAGACAACCAACGCAGTGGACAGGAGGCATATTGTTTGAAGCCTTCAAGAATGCGGGGAGCAACCGCGAAGTCTCGAATTACAGAAGTCTGTTTGTGAGCAGTGCTCTCGGCAAATGCTTCCACCGCCTTGTCCGGGACAAAATCCAGTGTCATACACATCGAATGCTCCACCCTTTGCACTGCGGCCCACGACGAAAAGCCCCAGTACAATTCCCTGAGCTCTACATTCTGTCTCATGTGCGACGGTGTGTTCGCAGTGGGCTGTGCTACGCTGTGCTGTTTTTGGACACCAAGAGTGCATACTATGCTGTCTGCAGAGAACTTGCTGTTGGTGACATTTGTCGCGACTCCACTGTCTCAACTCTTCCAGCGGTTCAACCTTCCGCCAGAAGATCTTCAAGAACTCATGGCTACGGTGTCAGCTGGAGGCATCATGGATGCTGCTGGTGTTCCACCAGCTCTTCGTCAAGTCATCCGCGATTTTCACTACAACACGTGGTTTACCACGCGTTTCACAGACGGTCGCCAAGCTTGCAAGACACTTGCCGGATCCAGACCAGGTGAATCCTTTGCGGATACGATCTTCGGGTTTGTCTACGCGAAGCTTCTTTGCTCCATCTACGAGGTTGCTGCCACGGAAGGATTAGCATTTGAAGTGCCATATGACCCCGAGACTGGAGTATACGCTGATGGAACAGCTGGTCTTGAACAGACGTCTTGGGATGGCACGTGGGCAGACGACAGTGCCTTCATCACGGTTGCAGCTGATGCAGAGCAGCTCCTGCATAAGGCGACCAGACTGTGTGAGGTGGTTATTGGATCTTGTCAAGCTGCGGGCCTCACGCCGAACATGAAGGTTGGCAAAACCAGTCTGTTGATGAGGTTGAGTGGTCGTGGCTCTGTCCGAGCTAGACGACAACAGTTTCGTGATGGAGCTTCGACATTGCGGATTGCAGCGCTTGATATGACCGTGCCACTCGTGCCACAGTATCGTCATCTTGATGGCTTCTTGGATGTCAACAACACGATGGTGGTGGAGGCGCGACATAGGGTCGCGTTGGCTACTCAAGCCTTTGATGACTCGAGCCGGCTTTTCCTTTGCCGCCGCGACCTCTCCTTGGAAACCAGGGCTGGGGTCTTCAATACCATTGTCACCACTTCGTTGTTTAACATGGGCTTGTGGGTCCCTGGTGGCCGAGCTTGGAAGATGTTGAACAATGCTTATTCAAGGTTGGTCAGGCGATTGCTTGCCCCAACCTTCAAAGGGGACAGACTCTTCCGAGTCCCCCTTGTGGTGGCACATGTCGCGACAGGCTGTTGGAAGCTTGACCTGGTCGCGCGCCGTGCGCGCTTAAGTCTGCTGGCGTCCTTGGTCGTGGCAGGCCCTGACCTGCTCTGGGCCACCCTCCAAGCCGAGGGTAGTTGGTTAAAGACTGTGCGTGGTGACTTGGAGTGGCCTGTTGGCTGCGATTCTGCAGATTGGCCGAGGCTTGACGCTGCAGGGTGGCCAGCATGGTTCACCCTCATCCGCGACCAAACTGCGCGTTTTAAGAGACGGGTGGCTCTGCGTCTCAAGGCCACCCACAAGGAGGTGTGCGCCTCTGACGTTGTGTTGGTCTGCCAGTGGGCCATGTTTCGGACGCTGCCTAAGGTTACCCAGGATGTCCCTCGGCGACCCTTCTGGAAATGTTGGATGTGTGGGGTGTCCTTTGACACCAAGGCGAAGCTCAGTGTTCACTACTTCAAAACGCACAAGCGAGTTGCTGAATATCGGCGATTTGCCACAGGGTCGTAATGTTCGGCTTGTGGCAAGGAATTCTGGTCCAACGGAAGACTCGCTGCCCACCTCCGAGCCTACCTTCGTTGTGTCGAGTCCCTCCGCCGAAGTGGCTGTGTAGTTTCGGTTGAGCCAGGTTTCGGTAGTCGGCGAAGGCGAAAACAAGATGTCGAGCAATACACTCCTGCTGCTCCAGTACGTGTTGGGCCTACGAGGGAGCCAGCAAAGGAGACCAGCTGGGGCCCCCACCTGAAGAACTACTACAGGGATTTGTGCGAGGCAGCTCTTGACGTCACTGAGGCTGTTGACTTTGAGCATGTGATTAAGAATGCCTTGGCATGTTACCCGCTCTACCCTGACGAGATCTGCGATGCTCTTTCCCTTCTGGTGTCTGAGATGGAGTTTGTTTTTGAAAGTGATGTACAACGACAATGGAGCAGGGCGACACTTGATGTCTTGCAATCTGCATGTCGAGCTGTGTCGGCAGTGGTCTGGAGCGCTCCGGACGAAGCACTGCCCCAGCATGAGAAGAGCCAGACCTTTGAAGACTTTCAACAACTGCTTCAGGAGATCCGATGGGACCAGGAGCTCAAGCGAGTGATGCCTGTGCACGGGACCCAACCTAGCACTTTGTATGTCCTGCCTTCCACCTGGGAAGCTGAGTGGGGGAAGAGTAGGGAAGTGTTCGGCAGCTCGGCCGTGCTAGATGATCCACTCGCTCTCTTGCCGCCGGTTCTTAAGGACCTTTGGCAGGAGCTTAGGCTTATGCAAGGACGGGCTGTGCAGCTCAGGGCTCCTGCGGAGTTCTGGCAAGGCCCGCTAGCTGGACCTTTCCAGCTACTGAGGGAACACCCCTGCATTAATTAAGCTGCGTACTTCCTCTGACAGCATGGAAATGGAAATATATATATATATATATACACTATAAATAGAATAAGGAGCCACCAAAATCCTAATTAATCAAGCCCCCTTTTTGGGGGTTTTGGGTGTGTAGGCGTGTAGGGTTCAGGGCTGGAGGCGGCCAAGTGGTTCGGGGTCCAAAGGTGGGTTTAATAATGAGAATAGGGCTTGGGGGGTATATTATACTATAGTTATGATAAGGATAGGGTTTGGGGGTATATTATACTATAGTTTAATAGCTAGAGTAGGGTTTGGGGGTATATTATACTATAGTTTAACAAGTAGGATAGTGTTTGGGGTATGTTATACTATAGTTATGATAAGGAACCCCCGCAAAACTCTGTTCTAGTTATTAAGACCCCTACATTACATGGTGGGTTTAAAAGTGCCGGCGAAGCCTACTGCAACCACGACGAGGAATTGACGGAGACTGCTACCGCCACCACCACCCGGACCACGACTCCTGTACGAGTATACACGAGTACTACTGCTACTCCTGCTGCTACTACGACGACGACGAGGACGAGGACTCCGACTGCCACAGCCACTGCGACCATGACTGGTGATCCACGACTACAGCCTGTACGTACAATGGTACTGCTACAAATCATACAACTATTAACTAACAGTGACAACACAATGACAACTCATGGCATTCGTATGAAGACTACTGCAGACGAGAGGCAAGGTGTTGACAGTGATAGTAGCAATGATACGATCGCTGTCGCCAACACTATCTGCATCATCGTCATGGTCCTACCCCTTGTTCCTCGGGAGCACTTCCAGCAGCGCCACCGAACTCCTTAATGCTAAAATTCTGAACCGGGCAATTCTCAGCATAAGAATGCTTCATCCCATGCGTCGCAGGCCTCTGCCGGCGCAGCTGTGGTTTCTTGCGTCTCAGTGCCTGCAGCAAACTTTTGGGCTCTTGCCGGATGTGACGGCTTGCAGATGCTCGCAGGGCTGCTTCGGGTTCACAGACTGCTGAGGGTTGCCAGACTTCGAGGAAGATGTCGATGTTCTTTCAAGGGGAGCTTGCAGAAGTAGGGCTTCATTGCACTTACAATCCCAGAGTTCCCGGAGAGTAGAGGCAATGTCAGAATCCGAGCACTCGAAGCCACCAGCCCTACACTTTCGGAAGCCCCAAACACCGGAGTCCTGAACAGAAGCTAGAAGACTACTATTACTACCTACTTGTCGGGTATCATGGGGAACTAAAGGTTAACCTTTTGGGCTATATAGGGATTATATAGGAACTATACTACCCAAAAAAGGTTAAAGGTTGCCTACTCTACTCTACTACTAGGACTAAGATTAACCCCTAATCCACCTGATTACCTCAATCCCGAAACATCCCCCCATGGAAGCCCAAACCCTGAAATCACCCCTTCTGCCCTGCAAGCCCTCCATCCCTAATCCCCCAAAAGACTCCTCATAGTAGACATCTTGTACACCTTGTAGAACTGTATTATAGGGGCCTGAGTAATTAGAATAGGGTTTTGAGACCCATCATACTACATATTTAAAATCAGGAACCCCCGAAGCAGTATAGGTAATTATTTAGGCCCCCAAATATAGAACTTTACTATAAATCCTTTATAGACCCTTTAAATTAAACCCTATTCTAATTAGTTAGGCCCCTATAGCAGAAACCCTCGAACTCGCGCCGGGGCGAGTGCTAGGGCCCTTCGCCACCAGCTTCGCTGTTGCTTGCCGAGACTTGAGCGTTCGAAGCTCAAGCACGGCGCGCCTCGAAAAGCTCGGATTCGAGGGCTGAACCCTAAGCCCTATGGGGCTTTTGGGCTCTTGGGTTTAGTTTCGGGAATTTGCCTCAGTAGCCGGATACGAAACCTTTACCCATGTGTCAGCTTCCGAAAATCAGGGGTAAACGTATCCCTTGTCAGTATCATAGGGAGCACTATTTCGGGTACCATATTAGGGTCCCTTAGTTTCGGAAACTCCGATGTAAGCCCCAAGACTAGCAGAAACCCCCAGGATGAAGATTGCACACAGGTCTTGTAAACGCTTGAACTACCTGGTACTATACGGCCAGAGTAAGCCTCAGTACTTAGAACAGCTTTGGGTGCATTCTACTACGATTATGTTTCGGGACGATGAAGGGATGCTAGTACCGATTATTCCGCCCACTATATTATGGTCTTTTTCGGCGTGTGTCACAGGTTGCTTGAGAAAACGCACATTGGGTAAGCCCGAAACTCTCTCACGAAGCGCAAGCAGTAGATGTCCTTACGTCATTATCCCTTACGACCCCTGTACGAATTATATATGATAAAATAGTGAATATTGCCACATACCTAATCCAACAAAAAAGGGACCTGTATCAGTGAAGGGGCGGCTTATAAGGCGCTGTGCTTGATGTCGTACATCTTTTACAGTATAGAGCATGACCACTGAATATCGAGGATCCTTTTATGGCTTGAATTTTTTTTTGAGATATTTTAGGGCTGAGCTTGCCCCTCGATCGTAGACCCCTTATGCCCTGCCGGCGAAGCCACTCGGTTCAAACCCGAAACTAAGCACCAACTGAAACCCCATCATCCTCTTGTTGGATCCTGCTTTAGCCCCAAATTTCAGGATCTTAAATTTCGTCTGAAACTAATTGCCCTGATGACACACATATTAGTTTGGTACAAGTTCGATTAAATACACGCTCATGAACACCTTATTGCAACGATCAAGGAGCCTATGTTGAACCCAAGCTCTACACTGCGACTCATGTTTGCTCAGGCGGTTGTTCCACTGACTGTGGTCTTTGCATCTAGTACAGTACAATATAAGTGCAGACTTAGACTAGGGTGTTGGGCAAAAGTACCGCATAGGTACGCAGGAAGTGCACTGCTATACCACTGTTCTTCAAACTTTTTGTGCTACGGTAACGAACTCTTGCTTCGGGGTTGAAGCTTTGTTGGCAGTCTCGATGTACAAGGTCTGGAGCCTTGTGGGGTTGTGGGGGGTTGAATAATGCTTAGATTCCTTAGATTCGCGAGTAGCAGATTTACAAGTACCCGAAAAGGGATCCTGGGTACTCATACCTCCACGACAGAACTACTTGTAAGTAGGGTTATAAGTAGGGTAACACCCATATTCGGAGACTCATAACCCTACTTATAACTACCCCTGAACCTCCAACTAGTTCACTGGGGAAGAGAAGGATCGTCGGCTCGAAGGGTTCAGAGTTCAGGATCAATGCTCGGGAAATGGCTCCGAAGCGAAGTGTATGGTTTAATGTAGTGGCCTTGACATAGGAGAATAGGGTTTTGGGGTGTGCTATCGCAGAAGTAGATAGAGATGATAAAACTCACCTATCGCAGAAGTACCCGCCGCACCCGCCGCACCCCCGCACCCGCCGCACCCGCCGCACCCCCGCACCCGCCGCACCCCCGCAGCGGGGCCCCCGCACCCGCCGCACCCCCGCACCCGCCGCACCCCCGCACCCGTCGCACCCCCGCACCCGCCGCGCACCCGCCGCACCCGCCGCACCCCCGCACCCGCCGCACCCGCCGCCCCCCGCACCCGCCGCACCCGCCGCACCCCCCGCACCCGCCGCACCCCCCGCAGATAGAGATGATAGAAACTCACCGTTACGAACTCTAAGGAATTTTTTTTGTATCTCGGCTTCGTTTTTTTACAAATGGGTTTCAAAACTGGTGCTTTGGTAGTCCTGTTGAAACAGTATGATTTGAAACGTGTTTTCGATTTGGGTTTCGTGGTGGTCGTTGAAGATTACGAAACGGATGGTTCAAAACTTGGTATGTTTCGACTGCTGCGGAAAACTTTGGCCTGGATTTGATTGCAAAAAGCTATGTTGAAACCCGGATTTGGTCGAGCATCCAAACCGTATTCACCGAACATTGTGTTGGAAGATGTAGCAACCAAATCTTCATGACATGCGAATAAGTGTGTATGTGTGTGTGTGCGGTGTGTGGGGCCCAAAGACACGGTGTATGTATCATGTCACACCATAACACCCTTTCACACCCCTCAGGCCCATAAGCTATCGAAGGCCGACGGCCTGCCAAGGCATCTGCTCTGCCAGGGACAGGGAATCAGGGCTCCTGTAAGACAAATACATAGTAACTAAAGCAAATAAAAGTAGCCGAACAGGGTTTAATCTGTTACCCCAAACCCTAAAAAACCCTCATTACTGTGCATTTATGTATACATATATATATATATACACATATATATATATATGTATCTGTATGTATATATATATATATATATATATAGGTATCTAAAGGCCAACGGACTGAGGCTGCAAGCCGGGCCCTGCACAGGGGCCTTCATCCAGCAGCGGACCCTGCATAGGGGTTTTGGTGTCAGTGGAAGCCGGACCCCGTACAGGGGTCAGAAGACTAAGGACCAGACCCTGCACAGGGGTCAGAAGAAGAGCCAAACCCTGAACAGGGGTCAGAAGAAGAGCCAGACCCTGCACAGGGGTCAGAAGAAGAGCCAGACCCTGAACGGGGGTCAAAAAAGCCAGACCCTGAACAGGGGTCAAAGCCAGACCCTGAACAGGGGTCAGAGCCAGACCCTGAACAGGGGTCAGAGCCGGGGTAATGCTGAGGGCCCAATGTTCAAAAAGTCCAAAAAACGACGTTGAACCACCCCAGAGTCTGAGATCCTTGCAAATGAGGCCCGGAGTGGCCACGACACGACGAAAGTTGCGATGTGGCCGCCGCCTCGGCTTGCGATCTATTGCTGGTTCTAAACTAAGAAGCCAATTCAATGCAGAGGCACAGTAGGTCAATGCAAGATAGGATTTTCAAGCTTTTGGTCGCCGGGCAGAGCATCCATCGTGCATTCTAGGCCCTCGGCGGAAGCTAAAGCCATTGCCGTGTGCTTTGTTCAACCTCTATGTTTTGTTAAGCTCTATGGCTCCACGACTGACCGTGGTCCTGGGATGTAGTGGGTAGTGTTGAAGCCACCTTTGCACACCACAACCC